TAAAGAGGAGGACGTTTGTATTTGTTTTAAATTTTGTGCTTAAAACAAGTTTAAATAAGAGATTATATAATTTATTTATCATCTCCTCCGGCCAATCAAATTAAAAAATATATATGTACATAGAGGTATCCTGACGTTCCAATTCCCGAAATCTTTTATTTTTTTGTCGACAAAATTCTAGTCTAAATTTTCTTTAAATTTTTTTGTAAAATTTAAATCTACCAATAATATAAAAAAATCTGCCAATATTTATCAAAAAAATAATTAAATACTATTATCTTTCCAAATTAAAGTTTTTTTTTTGGAAAAACGTAAAAATATATGTTTTTATTATTTCTTTTAAAATACCTACCTCCTCCTCCTTCCCATGTTTCAATTTTATTATTCTCTATGACTACATTTTTATTTTTTTTTCTTAACCATTTAACTTCATTAATAAAAAATTTTTTTAAAAAAGTTGCAAAATATACTAGGTAAATTAAGTAAATAACAAAAATATTTTCTTCTCATTAATTAATCAAAATAATTATTTTAAAATTAAAAAAATCTTTTTTTTTGTTTCAGGCAATTCTTAAATCAATAAATTTAATTTTTAATTTATTCAATATATTTAATCTTTTCTAATCTTTAATTATTTATTCAAAATGTCTACAAGTTTTGTAACTTTTCCTTTTTCTTTCCTTTTTTAATTTTTTGACTTCCTTATTTCCTTAAATAGTTAAAAGAAATTTAAAGCTTAAATTTTAGGAAATTACATAAATAAAACAATCTCTTTCTTTTGTATTTAAAAATTAAAGGAAGTGTTACCAGATGAGTTTCAATCTTAAACCTTCGGCCTTCGCCCCTTTTGTTCCCTATTCTTTTTATTTTATTTTTTTTTAAATTTTATTTAAAAATATTTTTATTTTATTAATTAATATATATTTTTTAAGAATTTTTTAAATTTCTTAAAAATTTCCAATTGGCTAGTTTTCGAGAGTGATTTTAGCCTTACATTTAAATAAAAATTTTCTTTCAATTTTTATATTTTTCTGGTTGAGTTTTGTGTATTGGTATGTAGTTTAAGTATATTATTATTTTTCAATTAAATTATTTTTTTCTGACCTTTCAAAATTCTTTTTTGATATTTAAAATTAACATAAAACAATCTCAATTTTTTTTAATTTAAAAAGAAAAAGGGGATTTTGTTTCTCTTTTTATTTTGTTTCACTTAAAATTATTTTGAATTAATGGCATTTCCTTTCTTCTTTTGTTAACCAATCTGTGGACTAATTCCATTATTTTGAGGATATTTTTTGGAGAGGATTATTTTTATATATTTTAAACAATATTCTCTCTGTTTTTTATTATTTAAAAAAACTCTTTGAGGAAGTTAAATAAATAGGTAGGTAATTAATTTAAATTAATTTAAAATTTTTGTTATTGTCTTAAATTGTAAATAAAAGGATATCTTAAACAAAAAATATTTTTCAAGACTCTGTTCAAGATCCAGCCTGCAGTTTCCTCAAGATTTAAAGTTAATTCTCAGATTTGAGGCTAAAAATTTTCAAAACCAAAGAACTATTTCAAGGTCAAAATTTTTCAAGACCTAATTTTGGTTCCAAAGTCAAAATTATTAAAAAAGCAAATGGATTTTTTTCCAATTTTTCTGTTTTAAACAGAAAAATAGTAGGAAGCAAAAATATTAGGAATTACGAAGCCTCCTACTCACGGGAAGCTTCATACTTCCCGTGAGTAGATTCATCCCCTCTAATACATTTAGGTGTATTATAGGACCAAAAAGAATGGGGGAAGGGGTGGTAACTTTTTATGAGGCATCCTTTCTTCAATTACTAGATATATACTTTTTAAGTATTTCAAAAAAGTTTCCTATTTTTGTAATATTTTTTTGCAAATTCGCGACAATTAAATTTTGTAACTTAATAATTTAAAAAGTTATTTCACTAAAAAATCTTTTTTTTATTCAAAAATGTCTTTGCAATATTTAATAATTTAATTTCTAAATATATTAAAATGTTTCCGTAGCGTGCCATTAATCGTTATTTAAATCTAATTAAAATAAAATATTTTAAATAAATTGTATTAGAAGTTTAGCAAAACCAAATAAAAATTATTAGGTAATTTTTTTAAATTATAAAAATTTCAAAATTGGAATCCAATCAGGAGAACCCCCAAAAATCTTTGTTTTCTGGATTTTTTGTAAAATTTGTAGTTAAAATTCTCATCTTTAATTTATGAAACTTTCTTTTATCAAAATAGATCACAAATTAATTACAATTAGGTATTATGTAGAGATCGGAAATTTTAAAAGACTTTGTCCTAGATCTTGATTTGGTTGAGCATCTTGACCAGATTCTTGATCTGGATCCAGGCTGATCTCTAATAATTAATAAAATAATTAATATCGAAGCTGTATTTCTATAAAAATTAAAAAAGAAACTTTAAAGTAAAATATATTGCCAATTCAAATTTAAAAATAATATTTTATTAGTATATTTAATTTATCATGAAATATTTAAAACACAATTATTTGTTTCATTTTAATTTCTTAGAAATATTTTTTTCTCTCAAACATTTTCCTCAAAAAGTATAAAAATCATTTAAACAAAATTTAATTTAATCAGAATTTAACTAAACTTTTACAATTAAAACTCTCAACACCCCCTCTCCTCCCCTCCACCCTCCCACCACTCAACACCCCCACCCCTTCCCTCCACCCACCAAAATATTTTTGTATTTTTTAGAGAAAATAATTATATTATTTAAATGTAACAATAACATTTCTTGTAATTTGTTTGTTTTATCGTGCGAATATTTTTTTGTTTTTAAGTTGGAAAAATATAGCCTTTTTTTCATTTTTATTAAGCAAATCAATTTTTAAATTATTTTAATTAAAACTCTCAACACCCCCACCGTAAATTAAATGAAAATTCGAGAATTTATTTATTTAATTTAAAATTTTTGAAAAATTGTTAAGAACTAGAAAAATTTTTAATCTCTAATTAGTGTCTGTGTTTGAATTTTAGCACGAGACTCCAAACAGTGACGTTAAAAAATATTTTTTAGTTAATTAAATTAAACAAAACTTTTAATAATTCTTTTAAATTTCAATTAAAAGAATTGCCAACCTTTTTATTAAAAAATATATCAGACTTAAAAATTTTATTTATTTTTCTAAATTAAATTATAAGCACTTGACATTTCTTTTCTGAATATTTTAGATTTAATAAAAATTTGTGTATAAAGGAAATTTCACCTGTTATATATATTTGAAAATATTTATTTTATTAATTAAAAGTTAAAAAATATTTTTAAAGAAATTTATATTTTAAACCTCAAATATTGAACCTAAATATAATATGTATCATTGAGATTGGAATAAATATATTTCATATAAAGTCCGTTACATACTTATAGGAGCAAGCATTTTTTGGTGTTAGTCTACCCCCCCCCCCCTCAAAGACTAAATAACTTTGATTAGGTATTTATTGAATGGATTTGGGGGTATTTGCGCTTATCTATTGAAGTCCAACATTATTATAATTTTTAAAGTATATAGTCGTGGAAAAAAGTATGGAAGCGCTAGAAAATTTTTTCTTAATTCTTAATTTTTCATTCAAAAAATACGTTCTATATACCAATCGAAAGCTCTATTCGTATCTCAGTTGACATGTTTCTGCATTTTTCATGAAAATGAAAATTGGCCGAGATAATCCGGATCTACCGGATATACCAAATCCCACTTTTTCGGAAAAATTTTTCGGAACAAATTTAACAAACCCAAATGATAAAGCATATTTTTCTGAGTATTTTCCACAAAACCGCTAAGAAATATCTTTTTCCGGAGCAGAGATATGATTTTTTGAAAATCGCATTTTTCGTCTATTTTTGCAAAAAATTCAATTTTTAAGCGAAAAATGCCATTTTCAAAAAATCATATCTCTGCTCCGGAAAAAGATATTTCTAAGCGGTTTTATGGAAAATACTCAGAAAAATATGCTTTATCATTTGGGTTTGTTAAATTTGTTCCGAAAATTTTTTCCGAAAAAGTGGGATTTGGTATATCCGGTAGATCCGGATTATCTCGGCCAATTTTCATTTTCATGAAAACTATTGAGCTATTTATTATTTTAATCTCCTTAAAATTTTCTCAAAAATCTGTCTGACTTTTTTTTTGCATTTTTATAAACTTCCGGAAATAAAAAACTGTGATTTCTGTTTAAAAATATAAACAAAACAAATTAAATTAAATTAATAAAAATATTAGCCTTTTAACATATTTTTAAAATTTAATTATTATTTTAAATCAGAGAACTTTATTTTTTTATTTAATTATGTAAAATGTAAATATTCGTATTTTTTATTTAATTTTAATTTCTTTAAAAAGAGAAGCACTTTATCTAAATTAAAATACCCAAAAATAATTAAAATAAAAAATCAAAGAATAAAAAGAAAATTGGACATTGACGTTTAAATGGCAAATAAATTAGACTTTTTTAATTGAAAAAATTTTTTGTTAACAAATTAGAAAGATTATTTTATTTTTCATTTTCCGATTAAATAAAAGGTTAAATAAAAATACATATGTATATTTAAATTGTTTGCTAATAAAATATTTAAATCAGTTAATTTTTAGCTTATAAAGAAGAGTGCCTGGAGTGTCGGTGGGACTTCGGGATGAAATTTGGTAGACAGATAGATCATACCCTACTTTAGTAGTGAAATTTTCACCATTTTCGCTGTCGGGACCGAGATATCACAACTAAAGTAGGGTCTATCTTTCTACCAAATTTCATCCCGAAGTCCCACGGACACCCCAGGCACTCTCCTTTGTTAGTAAACCTTTTGTTAAATATTATTTTTTATTTTAAAAGTGTTTAGGGTCTAAAATAATTAAATAATGCTTTTTATCCTTTTTAAAGAATTAATTAAAATAGTTTAAACAATTATTTTTAGAAATTTACTATATTTTATTCAAAATATTCCCCAAACTTCTTTAATTTTCTCCAAAAAATTTCGAAAAAATGTCTATAGAAAATGGCAGAAACAACGTTCATGTTGATCATTTTGTAGGTGGAAGTGTTGATTTATTAATGTTTAAAGCTACAACGGAAGAAGGAATTTATAAAAATGAGGAAACTGGGGAGCCTATTTGTGGAGAGGTATTTAATGGGGGAATTAATTTTTGGGGAAAAATATATGAAGCAAAAAATTAATTTAAAAAAATAAATAGAGATTTAGAAGGAAGAGAATGCCCCACAAACTTTCCTAAATTCAATAAATGAATGTCTACCTAAAATAATATTATAAATTTTAACTAGAATAACACACAAAATTTTATTTAAATTTTTTTTTCAATTTTTTTAGTACGAAACTTACACGTTGGCTCGTTTTCTCTTCGTTTCTGGCGCCTCCCTTTTTGCATTTTTAGGCCTAGCTGCAAACCTTTTACTTTTTTATTTATTTTCTCAAACACGAAATGGATCAGCTTCCAAAGCAAATCAACCGCCCCCAACACTTTATCCAAGAATGTTGGCGTTGTTGGATGCTTGTATATGTGCTGCTTATATTTTACTTTTTGGTGTTGATGCAATGTAAATACATAAATTTGTTTTTACTTTCCATTACTTTCAAAATTAATTTCCCCTCCTTTAGAACGATCTGACATGGTAAATGTCCTTTTTCCTTAAAGGCGAAATCCCCTAAGCCTTCCATGTTGTATCGGATATCTAAAAATTTCGCATTCAAAACAATCAAAAATTATTTTTTAATTTTAAAATTATTTTAAGTTCTTATGGAATGCGCAGTAAATCTTTATTTCTTCTTTACCATTGGTATATTGTGCCTGCTTTTGTTGTTGCCAGAATGGCACAATTAGCAATTCCTTATATGCTTATATTTGCTTCTTTGGAACGTCTTGTTTGGATTGGAGGGAAATTGTAAATTTTTTTAGATAATAGGTCTCCTGTTTAATTAAGATCGTATCACAGTCCAACCACTTCCTCGTATTTCTCCCGTGCCTTGTTTCCTCATAGGCGTTTCTTTTGTATTTTGAATAGATAAATATCAAAATAAAAATTAATTATTTTTAAGACGTAATTCTCTTCTTCGACGCTTATATTCTGTCCAAGGACGTCAAATTACTATGGTTATAATTTACAAAAATTATTTTTAACTAAAACTTCTTTAAAGGCCATTACTCTCCTTGCTTGCGTTCTTTTACGAGCCCCAACTGTTTGGGCAACAACAGTTCATCATTATCCAAAATGCAACGATTTTTTCCGTTCTCTCAGTGCTGGACCAGCAGATTGGGTTTTTGAAAGTCAATTTTATCAACTTTATGACTTTCATCTTTTGTCAGTTGCACAAACTGTTTTTCCTTTCTTTTTGCTTTTGGCAATTAATTTGGTTAGAAAATTTATTTTTCTAATTTTATTGGAAAAAATTTGGGAGAATTTCTGATGTTTAAAATTTTTATTTTGAAACATCGATTTTTGGTTTTGCTTGGCCAGAAATTGGTTTGGTTTATAATTTCACAACCATTTCTGACGCCAAATCTGAACGAATATCTCTCATAGGTATACTGTAGATTAGCGGGATTCCTATAAAATAATTGGGGACACATCTCTAAATTATTTTGCCGGTCACATTAGCATATTTGATTGTTAGTTTTCCTCAGAATAAATAAAGTTTGGCGAATAAAATAAAACAAAAAAGAATTCAAAATTTCAATTAAAAATATTTATTTATTTAAAGATTGTTATTCGCCGTGTATCAAAAGCCCATTTATCCAAACCTTTAATTCACCATGAAAAGAAGGAAAAAACTACCAAAACTCCAACAACACAGCCAATACTCGTTAATCAACTATCAACCTCAAATAGCTTTATTAAAAGAAAATCCTCTTTTAGAATTCACAAATTAACACTTTCTGGGCCTGTTAGATCTGCTGTCTATACTGTAAATTATTTTTAAAATAATTTTCTCAAAAAATTAATTTTAGATGGTCTGTATTGTCTGTACTTATTTAATTAGCAATTCTTTACATTTGGCACTTACTGTTTTAGAAAAGTTTGTTTTTTCAAATTAATTTTTAATTTAATTATTTTTTAGATCCAATTCTGCATTACTCAAGGATCCTTCAGATCCATCACTTGCTTCTCCCTTCCATACTGCCTTTTCTGATGCCGTTTCTTTTGTTTATATGTTTGTATTTTTTTAATTTAAAATTAAAGTAGTTATTGGAATGATACAATATATCGGCCAAAAATATCATTTATCGATATCAATAAAATTTATCAATCAACTCCATATACTATAATTTATACATATTTCACACCCCATTAATAAATTTATATCTGTCCCGAAAATCCTAAAATCTTGAAAAATTTAAATTAAAAATAATTTTTTAAATTTATCTAACTATCAAAACTTCAAAAACACTTTTTAATATCCCAATTAATTTCAAATTTCTTGTTTAATTTCACATTTATTTTTTTTCAAATTTTTTAATTAATTTCAAATTTCACTTTTCTATTTCCGATACCCACAACTTTTTCTTAAAAGAAATATAAAAATATAAATTTCAATTCCAAAATTTACTTATTTGAAGGTTCACTTCAGCCATTCGTATATTAATTTATTATTCGTGTAATCCACAAATTCGAATTCAAATAAAACATTGTTTGTCTTTTGGAAGTAAATGTACTAGTAACAACAATGTTTGTGAGGAAGAGGAAAGTAGCAGTAATAATTATAGTTATCAACAAAAACAACAATCAACAACAACAACAATTTATTTGCCTTTTAATGTTGCTAAAAATACTGACAATTTTGGAAGTTTAAATGTAAATAATTTAAAAATAAAAAGAAATTTTTTGTGAAAGCCTAGATAAGATATCTAAAGTAGAGTTGTACTCCGAACCCCGACCCCGTTCCCGAACGATTTTCTAACATTTATCCCCGACCCGAACCCCGCTCCGAAACAACTGGAAAACCCTGTACCCCGACATTCCCGCCCAAAGCGTTCGGCATCAAACCTTAATCTAAAGAACCGATAATTTTTAAAGACTAGACGAGTTCTGGAAAACTAAGGCCGAGGTTAGAAGTTGAAGGGTTATCCATCCCTCATCCTCTCTGATTTATAAAATAAAGATTTTCTCTCAAAATAAATTTTGATTATTATATTTAATTTTAAAAAATTTTCAGAAAATGTCAGAACAAAATAGTAACCAGAAAACCAATAATAATTTAAATATTCACCAAATTTTTGTTGAAGATTTAAGTAAAAAAGGAGAAAATAAATTATTAAAAGAAGAACAAAAAAGGAAAATAAATTTAATTTGGGAAATGACTGAATTGGAGGATGAACAAGTTATTTAGTAGAGATTATTAATTCAGGAATTCTTTTTTTTTATTTTTATTCTACCTCGTTTAGAAACAATTACCTAGTCACTTTTATTGTCTTCTTTAACACATATTTTTTTTAATTTAAGAAAATATTTATTGTAAAAATTAAAATTTCTTTAATGTAAATTTCGGTTAAAATAATCAACATTTACTAACATTTTTATGAGCAAATTAAAATTAATTTTATTTTTGCTAAATATAAAATATAAAAAGATAAAAAGGTGGAACGAATAAATACATTTATTTACAAGAAATTGTTAAAACGTTGGTTGATTTTCCCTTTTTACAAAAAATTTATTTATTCTATTAATTAGTTAAGAACTTGCAAAACAATCTGAATTTTGAAATAATTGCCGTTTAGGGGGGGGGGGGGTAATTATTTAAGAGAGGTAGATTATTTCAGTAAATACTTATGTAGTTTACCTGATAACCCTTTGAAGCTGAAAAATATTCCATTTTAAAATGAATGTATTTGTTCTTGGATGTATTGCTTTGATAAATTCTAAATAATTATTTAAAAATTAGGAATTTTTAGAGCTTTTTTGAAGTGATTGTATTTTAAGATTCGTAATTACAATTAATTATTTGCAAATTATATCACAAGTTTGTAAGGCGTGGCTGATTCATTAATTTTTTTTCTTTTCGGAAACTAATTAGTAGCCTTTCTTTTTTTATTAATATTCTTTTTTTACAACTAAAGAACATATTAAGTTTAACTTTTAATGACCTTCACGGGAATATTTTTTCTCCTTTTCATTTTTTCGGTTTAACCAAAATTTGTTAGATTTTGTTAAAGGTTTTGTTGATTTAATGAAATTAAATAAAAAATGACAATGAATAACGGTCCTACCTGAATTGTTAGGTACACCCTTAGGCATGAAGAAAGTACTTCATGATGACGCGTATTTATGTACCTCCATGTGAATTCGAGAGAGGCCCGACTGTAAATATTTAGAAAATGAAGCATTGCTTAATCCAAAAAATTAGTAAACTTTTTTAAAATCCTCACACATCTGAATAATTTAATTTCTAACTATTTCATATCTACATATATATAGCTTTTCAACTGTATTTTACAAGTGTTTTACATCCATAATTACTTTGAGTTATTAAACCCTCTTTAAATTCTTCTCTCCATTTCAAAAAATATAATTATTTATTTAATAAAATAATTAAATAAATATTTTCTATAATTTTCTAACACATTTTTAATTTTTATTTATTTATTTATTTATTTATTACCCGTAAAAATTTTCACGCAAATCTTCCTTTCTTTTTCATTTATTTTTTTCATTAATTGGATGAAGATGATCCTTTTACTGCAACAAATTTATTACCTCTTTTTTTCTCCCTTTACTTTCTGTCACCTTTTCCGGACGGGCAATCAGCCAATACACAAAAAAAAATTAATTTTTTTTGTAAAAATAAGTGGGGCGTATCTAAACAAAGAAAATAAATAAATAAAATATTTATTTAATATTTTAATTGTTGCGGGATGATTGCCCTCTTTTTTCTAATTCTTTTATTTGTGCTTATCACTCAAAAATCTTTTTAGCTTCCTTCCTTCTCTAGAAGGGAAATTTTTTCTTCTTTTCATAATTCATAATCAGAGCTGCTTCGTTAATAAAATATTTATAGAAATTCGAAAATTCTTTGACAAATAGAATTTATTTAAAAATAGTTTTCTGATGGAATTAAATTATCCAAAAAAAGTTTTTTGTTGGAAGAGGATTGTTAAAATTTACATTTTGTTAGGCAATACATATACATACGTCTGCCTTAATGATTGAGGCAGAAGTCAAAATCAAATAGCTAATCACATTTTCTAAAAAATTCAAAGTTCACACTTTGAATAGTTACATATGTCAACAAAATTAATAATTTTTCTAAAAAAAATATTTTTTCTTTTAAAATATTTTTATTAATTTATTTTTGTCACTTTTTGATTTTCTTAAGAAAAAATAGTTTTGAAACTGTCAGGATTATGCTTGACCTGACATTGAATAATTTTCGCGACACAGACATATTTATTTATATTTATTCCTCCAATTATGATTAAATATTACAATTTCCACTCCAATTAATTTATAAATTTTAAGAAAAAGTGTACAGATATATAAAATATACATTTTATTTTCTAATATTTTTAAATCTTATTTTAGTCCTTGTACCTTTGAATCTAATTTCGTTATTTTTTAACCAGATAATATTAAATTCGGTGACTATTTTCATTTTTTACCCAATTTTTAAATTTACAAATATTCTGTCAAATAGTTTTGTTAACCTAATAGAAATACATAAATCTTGACTCCTCCTTCAGTTAAAGCACCTTCTTAATTGTGACAACCTTTTTGATACGATAGAAACAAAAACTTTTATTCAGAAGCACTTACCCAAAATGATGCAAAGTTCTTCTAGTCACTGTACACTTTTTACCTGTCTTCTCTCAACTCTTCCATCCACCCTTCTATTCTTCATCATTTTCCTTCTTCCTATTCTTCCTTTTCTATACCAAAATAAAATTAAAATAATTAATTTTAGATTTTTTTAAATGAGAGAGCTCCATTTAACCCCATCCCCTCCATCATCGTTAGCACAGAGACCAACTCCATCATCTTTATTTTATCTTTCACATTCCTTTCCTTCATATAGAGGTGCTAATACACCCCCTCCAACTTCTGTTGTACCAATTCAAGGTTTTTATTAATTTATTAAAAAATTTATTCATTGTAAAGTGAAATTGTAAAAATTAAAAGGGCTGTTTAAATAATCACAATTCTAAAAATACAAAAATTTTCTGTGCAGAATTATGTATATTATATTTTTCATTTGATTGACCATTAAGTTGATGAGCTACCAAACCCCTAGAATGGATACATTCAATTTAAGATATATATTTTCAGCTGCGAGGATTTATCTTTGAGCAATGTGTGACTATATAATAATTGGAAACCTCGAGAATTTTTAATTAAAACAAACATTCAAAAACAATAACAAAATAAAAACAATTATTTTTTAAGGGGCATCACCACATCCTTGGAAAATCCCAATTTCAACACGTAGTTCAATTCCTTCATCAAGATGCCCTATTAGACCATTAAAACAAACTAACTCTTATTGTAGTGTTGAGGAAATAAAAGAAGGCAAAAGGCAAAGATTAAGCTGTTCTAGTTCAAATGAAAGTAATGGAAGAAAGAAAGGAAATATTTATATTGAAAAAGGAAGAAATTATAAAGGAGGAAATGAAGAGGAAGAAGAAGAGGAGGAAGAGGATGAGGAGGGGGATAATTATTATGAGAAAGCACCTACTTCACGTCCTTCGAGTGCTACGAATTTGGTGAAAGTTAAAAAGGTTGGAAATTTTAAATAAAAATCTGGTTATTTAATTGAATTGATTGGGAGGTAAAAAGTGAGGAGATTTGAAGAAAGAATTTGGTTTTTAATTCGAAGGAATTTATTTCTATTTACTTAATTTAAAATAAAATTAAAATTTATTTTTAAAAATTATAAAATAAAATCAAGAATTTAAATATTCTCTCATTTAATTAAAAAAAACAAATTTTTAAGTTAACCTTGAAAGGGTGAAAAGTTTTTATTTTGACGCGAGGTTATCTCTTAGCTATTCTAATCTTTTAGTTTTATTGATAGAAAAGTTAATTCAAATATATTTGTAATTAAAATATCAAAAATAAGCCATATATAATTTTTTAAAATAATTTTAAATAATAACACCCAAACTCTCACTTTTATTTTTAAATTTATTTTAATTTTTTAACAAAAAAACAAAAAAAAACCTGTTACTAAATAAAAACAAAAAAGCTCATTTATTTATCAAAAAAAGGAATTGATGACGTTAATATATTTTGACAAATCTAGTTAAATATATTTTAAATTAACGGATTAACTTTTGTTTTTATTGGTGTTAGTATATTGATACTACATGTAGAGTTTTTAATCCTTTACAAGAAAAATGTTTCTTTTTATGTTGTTTTTTCATTTTTTAATAAAAAACTTTATTCTTAAAAATAAATAAAAATTATTCTAAAATTTAAATATACCCCTTCAAAAATACTTGGGAATTTTTAAATAATTTCAGGCCACATTCATAATAAATTCCGTTAGTAATAAAAAATTTAAAGGTTAACTAGGGAAGAATATAACTAATAATTTTTTACTATTTCCAACTCTCACTACCATTTTTTAGATGATTAATTTATAATTAATTAAAGTGAATCATTTTATTAAATTAACGTCCAATTAAATATTTATTTTTTAAAGCAAAATATGCCAAAACTTCAAAAACAACAACAAAAAATCCCTCCACCAGCTCCCCCAGTTTTACCTCCTCCAAATTTATCACTTCTCAGTTATGTCAGAAAAAATGAAGAAATTCCAAATAGAAATGGCTGGCAAAGGAGGCCTTCAACAACAATAACTACGACAACAACAAATACTCCAAACAGAAAAGAAGAAATTAATAATGAAAATGAATGGAAGGAAAATATTAAATTTAAACAGAGAAGTAATAGAACTAAGGTAATATGTATTAAATTTAAAAAATTTTAAGAAAATTTTTGTAAAAATTTAAAAAATTAGTCGGCTATCAAGTTTTCTGAAAATATTCAACTTCCGTTCTTTTCCCTTCCTTATTCCTTAATTGTACTTAAAATGCTTCACGATAAGAGAACCCTTGAGAATGAAAAATTCGTATTTTATAACAAGGTTTTATCCTAAAATTACTCCGAAAAGTCTTCTCCAAATAACAAATAAGACCAGCCAAGTTTACAAAAATATACTTACCTATTTTAAATTTGGGTGCGTGAGATTTAATAAGATTTAATATGTAACTGTATAATGAGAGATTTAAGAGATTTAATTCTCATTATTATACAATAATGAGGTTCAACTGTGTTTAATAGAAATTTCAATTATTTTCTTTAAAGTTTTTGGTTCATATATTGTTATTTGCATTGTGTTGTTCTCTTCTGTTAATGGCCCTTCCTCTACTTTTATTATGGTTTACAAATCCAAATATATTACAACAACAACATTCAACAATAACAACTTCTCCACCACAAACAAATAAACAACAAAAACATTTAAAAAAAGAAGAAAATAAATTAATTTTAGAAAATAATTTAACAAAAAATTTATTTTTAAATTTTAATAGAGATTTGTCTATTGAACCAGCAATTTTGGCTAAATTAATATTAGAAGAGGAAGGGAATAATCCTAATAAATTAAGAATTTTTGAAGTTAGAAGTGAACAAACAATTAATAAAGATGGTGGACAAAAACAAGGAGAAAGGTAAACTAATTTAGAGTGGAGGAAGTTTTTATTTCCTAATTTTGCTAAATTCCTAGAATTTCCATGCTTTCTCAATTTTTAGTAAATTCACGTTTCTAAACGAACTTGAAATCAGTATTTTAAATTTGTTCTCATCCTCAATCCTTTTTTCTAAAAGGCTTTCAACAATAAAATTTTTATTACTTCAACAATTCTGTCAAGCAAATATTTATCTACAATTACAAATAGCACATTATAAGACATTTAGACAATAAGAAACATTACTAAGTAACGTACACATTTAAGAGATCAGAATAATTAATATGGATCTAGATAACAAAAATGGACACTCAATACAATTATATATAGGCAAATATTCACAAACAAATAATTATATATATCTAGAGTATTATTAGTATATCTCATCCTCAATCCTCTTTTCTTCTGGCGACAAACTTTCGACTTCTTTGGTTTCGCCTTCCGTTTTTGACTCCGAACCCTTTACTTCCTTCTTGTCATCTTCCTCATCATCTTCTTTTGACTTCTCACCGTCTTCCTCTTCGTCTTTAGACTTCTCACCCTCATCCTCCTTCTTCTCTTTACCATCTTCTTCCTTCTTATCATCCTCTTCTTCACCATCTCCTTTTGCCTCATCACCTCCCTCAGCATCTTTTCCCTTCTTGTCAGGCTTCTTCCTTATGACAAAGTAGACAGAAATTCCAATGACAATGATGATCAGAATAACGGCAATCACAACTATCCCGACGACTGTAGAGGAGCTTTTGGTGGTGGTTGTCATCGTTGTTATTACTGGTGTAGTTTTTGTACTTGCAGACGTAGATGAAGAAGATCCTTTTGAAGCGGGAGCTGTTGAAGTTCCCAATTCACTCGTTTCTGTAACTTGATCGGTTGTTGTCATGTTTACTGAATTATCCTTAGGCGTCGATGTTGTTGAATTATTTTCGTCGTTTGCTAAGGTTGATGAGATCTGATTATTGTTTGTTGGATTATTGCTGATACTTGGAGGACTATCACTTGTACTTGGAGGTTTCGATTTATCATTTGTGGGTGGCTTTGTTGTTTCAGGAATAGAAAGAACATTAATCAATCTGTAGTTTCTCTTCGACTGAATTAGTTGAAATAAATTAATAATTAATCGTTCATTTGTTTATCACTTACGAATTTGATGTTTAAGTCATCGCAGTCGGGTCCTTGAGGCGGGTATCCTTGTATTTTATATTTATCACCGCCAATAAATTCTCTTATTCGCGATGCACGTTGAGGGAGAAGATGAAAAACCAACAAACGATTCATTCTTGGATTTAGTCTTGTACTGGCGATTTCCCACGTGATAGGCGGTAGAATATTCTGATGGATGTTTTTGACACAGGAATTTTTGGCACTCACATTACCCTTCTTTGGATAGCTAATCCTATATCTTGGAAATTGATATGTTATCATAACTGTTGGGTACTCTCTTCTCTCTTCCACTATTGGCAGTTCTTGACCAGTATAGCGTATTAGCGCCACGCCAACTAAAATTGAATTTTTAAATAGAATCAATCTAAAGGAGATTTGTTACTTGGATTTACATTTAGCACAAGAATTGATATTTTACGCTTTTCCTGTAGTTCCCATGAAACTTCAAGGCCCGTTCGTTTGACACAAGTGCCTTCACAACAGCCGCCATTACCGAAAATCGGACCATTGTGGAGCTGACTAATCTCTTCGTTTTTCAAGCTGTAGGCAAAAGGCAACCTGAAATGATAAATTCTGGAATAAAATGTTTCTTTCTTTCTTGCCCGAATACTCATATAATTTTTAAAGATTAAAAAAATATAATTTTCATTTAAAGGTTTTATAGGTTACTCTGTTCTAATTAACTAACGTATTCTGATTAATATCTGTCAGACAATTCTCAAGTCCTGCAGAATGACTCAATCCTGTCGTGAAAACAATATTATTCTTCATATTTGTTAGAAGGTCCACCGTACAGCCTTTGTCCTTTGTCGCACCTTGACTTTTGTAGTGAAGAACACTTAAAATAAGGAGAAATACAAACTTAGAAACGAAAATAATTAACTCACATATTTCCTTCGCTGTCAAAGTCAACATCGCAAGCATCAGAAAACTTAGCCTTGTATTGTTCAATGTCCTCTTTAGTGGCCACGACAGTTGAGCCTGCAGCAAGATTCACCTTTCCTTCCTTCAAAATGTGATTCCCCAGACCAACATACGCTCCTGTAGTGTCAACTTGTCCAACCAACACGAGAACAGCAATCGAGAGAGCCACCATGTTGACAAACATGATTTGCTCCTTCTTGGATCCGTTGTAGTTGTAAATGCAAAACTTCATTCATGCAGTAGCCTTCCGACGCAGATGGGAGAACGGTTGTTTTGATGACGATTTATGTACAAGGATTTTTTTTAATAATCAAGAGTCATTTAGGCTTTTATAGTACAGGAGGAAATTTTTATTTTCTAATTTTACTAAATTCCTAGAATTTCCATGCTTTCTCAATTTTTAGTAAATTCAAGTCTTAAATACACTTGAAATCATTGTTTTAAGTTTGTTCCCTAAAGCTTTTTACTAACATACGCATTTAAGAGACCAGAATAATTAAGATGAATCTAGGTAACAAAGAATAGGTACTCCATACAATTATATATAGGCAAATATTCACAAACAAATAATTATATATATCTAGAGCATTATATCCATATATTATATCACACTTTATATATCTCATCCTCAATCTTCTTTTCTTCTGGCGACAAACTTTCGACTTCATTTGTTTTGCCCTCTTCCTTCGCTTCAGTATCAACCGATGTTGCGCCCGTCTGTTCTTCTTCTTTGGTTTCGCCTTCCGTTTTTGATTCCGAACCCTTTACTTTCTGCTTGTCACCTTCCTCATCGTCTTCATTTGATTTATCACCGTCTTCTTCTTCGTCTTTAGACTTATCACCCTCATCCTCTTCTTTCTCTTTACCATCTTCTTCCTTCTTATCATCCTCTTCTTCAGCATCTCCTTTTGCCTTATCACCTCCCTCAGCATCTTTTCCCTTCTTGTCAGGCTTCTTCCTTATGACAAAGAAGTAGACAGAAACTCCAATGAAAATGATGATCAGAATAACAGCAATCACAACAACTATCCCGACGATTGTAGAGGAGCTTTTGTTGGTTGTTGGTATTGTACTTACAGCCGTTGTTGAGCCTTTTGAAGCGGGAGCTGTTGAAGTTTTTAATTCATCCGTTCTTGTAACTTGACCGGTAGTTGTCATGTTTACTAAATTTTCCTCAGGCGTGGACGTTGTTGAATTATTTTCGCCGTTTGCTAAAGTTGATAAGATCTGATTATTATTTGATGGATCATTACTGGTACCTGTAGGCTGCAATTTATCTGGTGGCTTTGTTATATCATGAGAAAAACCAGTCAGCAATGTATAGTTGCTCTTAGACTGAATTTGTTGAAATGAATTAATAATAAATCGTTCATTTGTTTATCACTTACGAATTTGATGTTTAAGTCATCACACTTGGGTCCTTGCGGCAGATTTCCTCCTATTTCAAATTTCCTTTTTCCCTCCAACCACGTCCTATTTCGCGATGCACGTTGAGGGAGAAGATGAAAAACCAATAAACGATTCTTTGTTGGATCTGGACTTGTACTGTCGATTTCCCATGTGATAGGCGGTAGAGTTTTCTCCTTGATGGATTTTTCCACATCTATTCCAATGCATGGTTTACCGTAAGGATCTATCTTTTCCCCCTTCGGAAAGTAAATCTTAAATCTTGGAGATTCAGATATCTCAACTTTTGGGTGCTCACTTTGCTCTTCCACTCTTGCGATTTTTTGAGAAGTTTCGCCCATTAGTCCCACGCCAACTAAAATTGAATTTAGAAATAAAACTTAAACTAAAGAGATTTATTACTTGGATTTGCATATGACACAACCTTTCCTTTTTTACTATCTAACCACCATGAAACTTCAAGGCCCGTTCTTTCGACACAAGGACTTTCACAGCAACTGCTACTCAAATTGACAATCGGACCATCGTGGAATTGACTGATTTCTTCATTTAGCAAGCTGTAGGCAAAAGGCAATCTAAAATAATAAATTCTGAAATAAAATGTTTCCTCATTCTTGTCGGGGTAGCCATATAATTTTATAGATGTAGAATATATTTTTTAAACTCTTCAGTTAAAAATTTTCAAACTACTCGTTTTACGTAAACTAACGTGTTCAGATTATGATCCGGCAGACAATTCTCAAGTCCTGTAGAATGGCTCAACCATGTCGTGAAAACAATTTCATTCTCCAATTTTGTTAGAAGATCCACAGTACAGCCTTTGTCCTTTGTCGCACCTTGACTTTTGTAATGAAGAACACTTAAAATAAGGAGAAATATTTATACTAACGAACTTTGAAGCAAAAAATAATTAACTCACATATTTCCTTCATTATCAAAGTCAACATCACAAGCATCAGGAAACTTAGCTTTATATTGTTCAAGGTCTTCATTGGTGGCAACGACAGTTGAGCCTGCAGCAAGATTCACCTTTCCTTCCTTCAAAATGTGATTCCCCAGACCAACATTGTCCGCTCCTGTGATGTTAACTTGTCCAAACAACACGATAACAGCAATCGAGAGAGCCACAATGTTGACGAACATAATTTGCTTCTTCTTGGATCCGTTGTAGTTGTAGATGGAAAACTTCATTCATGCAGCAGCCTTCTAGCACAAATGGGTGAACGGTTGTTTTGATGACGATTTATGAGGATTTTTTTAATTATCAAGAGTCATTTAGGCTTTTATAGTAATGGGTTGTCAGATAAATAATGAGCCCTTTGCGCATAAATTATACAATTTACTATAACTAAATAATGAAATGAAATCAAAAAACAATTTAATGTCCATTATTATCTATCACTTCTTGCCCCTTGCTTGGCAGTTTTAGAATTCCCATTTGATAAAATTTATTGGCAGATTTGGTATTAAGAATGTTGGCAACCCAATTTTAGAGTTGAGCACAGTTTTGGAACCTCACCTCCCTCAAATGATTTTTCATCGAACGAAATAACTGCTAGTAAGACGGCGCAATATCCGTAGAATAAGGAGGATCAACTAAAAGTTCCCATCCGAGTGTCCCCGTGATCTAGGCTCGAGTTGCGTTCGCGCGATGCAAGTGTGCAGTTTCCTGTTGAAAAACAACTTTATCAAAACGAACCCCGCAAGCAGTGAAACCATCGTTGGCAATCTGAACTATGTCCAATATTGTTTTGTAGAGCTTGCCCGGCAATCCATTGCCCTTAGGAGTTAATTCCCAGTGTAAAATCCCAAATTTAGCCCAAATTTCAGGTTTTTGGCTTCTAGGCCCATATCTCCATTACTGAATTTTTTGTAACATCGCTTAATTGATGCAAAAGATGCCCAATATGTACCCTACAAAGCGGCATTTTCTTTTTTGGATTGAGTTGTACCTAGACCGCGTTTGAAGCAATACAAAATAACAGTCCGAATTTCATATTTTGAGGACATAATTTTAAAAAATTTTTAAAAAACTGCAAAACTCAAAATTTATTTTTTAAATGGTTCTGGCTAGTAGAAAAAAGCGCGAACTATCGACTCTAGTAAATTTAAACTAATTCTAACTAAAATTCGAATACCTATACATAAAAAAAGACTAAAAATGCGTAAAGGGCTCATTATTTATCTGACAACCCATTACATTGTTTTTAAAGGAATAGTGAATTTTTTCTCATGAATTGCCTGGGTTTGAAAAGACGAAAAACACTTTCCGCGTTGGTTGTTTTAAATCTAACAATAAGGACTTCATTTTCATATTTTCCATATTTTTCCATACTTGGTCATTTTCAAGTGATCAAAGATGCCCTAGTGATGAAAATTGAGAACATAAAAAAGCATTCTTGAACAGATTGCAATTTAGAATGGTTCGTCAGGTGTGGCATTTACGGAAGCTGACTTACCCAAATATTTTACATTAGGTTTTTATCATTATATTATGTATAATCCCGTTAAAGGTCTAAGGCTTCTATAGACTAAGGTTTACTTAATAGTTCTAACAGAAAATTTTTATTTCCTAATTTTGCTAAATTCCTAGAATTTCCATGCTTTCTCAATTTTTAAATAAACTTGAAATCATTATTTTAAGTTTGTTCTAAATTTTATTGCTTTCAACAATAAAATTTATATTACTTCAATAATTGTGACAGAACAAATATTTATCTACAATTACAAATAGGCATAAACATTATAGGACATTTAGATATTATAGACATTAAGGAACATTACTAACATACACATTTAAAGGACAAGAATAATTAAGATGAAGCTAGATAACAAAAAATAGATACTCAATACAATTATATATAGGCAAATATTCCCAAACAAACAATTATATATATCAAGAGCATTATTTGTATATCCATACATCACACTTTATATATCTCATCCTCAATCTTCTTTTCTTCTGGCGACAAACTTTCGACTTCATTCGTTTCGCCTTCTTCCTTCGCTTCAGCATCACCCGATTTTGCACCCGTCTGTTCTTCGTCTTTGGTTTCGCCTTCCGTTTTTGACTCCGAACCCTTTACTTCCTTCTTGTCATCTTCCTCATCATCTTCTTTTGACTTCTCACCGTCCTCCTCTTCGTCTTTAGACTTATCACCCTCATCCTCTTCTTTCTCTTTACCATCTCCTTCCTTCTTATCACCCTCTTCTTCAGCATCTCCTTTTGTCTCATCACCTCCCTCAACATCTTTTCCCTTCTTGTCAGGCTTCTTCCTTATGACAAAGAAGTAGACAGAAACTCCAATGGCAATGATGATCAGAATAACGGCAATCACAACAATTATCAAGCCGATCGAAGAGGAGCTTTTGGTGGTGGTTGTCATCGTTGTTATTACCGGTGTAGTTTTTGTACTTGCAGACGTAGATGCCGAAGAGCCTTTTGAAGCGTGAGCTGTTGAAGTTCTTAATTCATCCGTTCTTGTAACTTGACCGGTAGTTGTCGTGTTTACATTACCCTCAGGCGTCGATGTTGTTGAATTATTTTCGCCGTTTGCTGAAGTTGTTGAGATCTGATTTTTGTTTGTTGGATCATTGATGGTACCTGGAGGTTTTGTTTCAACGTTTGTTGGTGGCTTTGTTATATCAGGAGAAGAAAGAACATTAAGCAATTTGTAGTTGCTCTTCGACTAAATTTGTTAAAATAAATTAATAATGAGTAGTTAATTTGGTTATCACTTACGAATTTGATAGTTAGGTCATCACATTTGGGTCCTTGCGGCGGATTTCCTTTTATTTTATATTCATTACCAATCCATTCTCTTATTCGCGATGCACGTTGAGGGAGAAGATGAAAAACCAACAAGCGATTCATTTTTGGATCTGGACTTTTACCGTCGATTTCCCATGTGATAGGCGAGAGCAGGATGTTTTCAATGCAAGAACCTCTGGTAGTCGCAATAGGTGTCCCCGGAAAGTTGATCTGATATCTTGGAGGTTGATCCGATATCTCAACTGTCGGGTACTCTTTTTTCTTTTCCACTGTTGATTTAGCTTGACCGGTTTGGTTGATTAGTCCCATACCAACTAAAATTGAATTTAGAAATAAAAATCAATCTAAAGGAGATTTATTACTTGGATTTGCATTTAGCACGATGTCAAATCTTTGCCTATCTTCATATAGCCACCATGAAACTTCAAGGCCCGTTCGTTTCATACAAGTGCCTGCACAACATCCGCCATCCTTACTGAAGATCGGACCATTGTGGAATTGTCTGATTTCTTCATTTAGCAAGCTGTAGGCAAAAGGCAATCTGAAATAATAAATTCTGAAATAAAATATTTCCTCATTCTTGTCAGGGTAGCCATAAACCTAATTTTTAAATATTTTTAGACATCTTTTTTAATTCTAAGTTAAAAACTTTTCGGTATAAGTTTTCGTAAACTAACGTGTTCTCATTAAAATTCCAGGTCAGGCAAGTACCAATGTCCTTTGTCACAATCAACCCGGCTGTGAAAAGAATCTTATTCCTTATATTTGTTAGAAGATCCACCGTGCAGCCTTTGTCCTTTGTCGCACCTTGACTTTTGTAGTGAAGAACGCTTAAAAATAAGAAAAATACTTACATTTATCTAACACCAAATTAACTCACATATTTCCTTCGCTATCAAAGTCAACATCGCAAGCATCAGGAAACTTAGCCTTGTATTGTTCAATGTCTTTATTGTTGGCAACGACATCTGAGCCTGCAGCAAGATTCACCTTTCCTTTCTTCAAAATGTGATTGCCCAGACCAACATTCTTCGCTCCTGCGCTGTTAACTTGTCCAACCAACACGAGAACAGCAATCGAAAGAGCCACAATGTTGAAGCACACAGCTTTCTTCTTCTTGGATCCGTTGAAGTTGTAGATGGAAAACTTCATTCTGGCAGCAACCTCGTAGCACAAATGGGGGTGGTCGTTTGTTTTGATGGCGATTTATAACGATTTTTTGTAATAATCAGAACTTTTAGGCTTTTATAGTACATACAATCTATCTTTTAATAAAAATATCGGAAATACATTAATGTACAATCAGAATTAAAGAAAAATTTATAAATTATTCGTTCCCGAGATTCTAGGCTCAAAGAAGCGCCTTATGAGATTCGAAAACCTTCTCTTTGAGACAACCAAAAATAAATAATAATTAACAAACTTTACCTCATTTGCGTCTAACTCTAACTTTAATCCTCTTTTATTAATTAATTTTTAAATTAATTTTGAAAATTTACTATAGAATTACATCTGTGTAGATAATTAGTTAAATATTTAATTACGTATTTACTTAACTTTAACCTTTTCAGTAATTTTTCCCAACTTCCTGGCTCTCGACACATAACAATAGAATCACTTTCTCATAATGGAGTTCCTGTCCATCCATTACAATTTCAACGGCTTTTACGTTCACATTCAGTTGATTCTAATTCAATTGTTGTTCTTTATGACAGACATCCTCTTGGATTATTTTCAACATATGCTTTGTGGATTTTTAGAGTAATTATTATTTTATATATACAAATTAATTGTTTATATCCTAAAGAATGTCATACCAATTTTTATTTAATAGAGATCTGGATCCACGAAAAATCAAGATCCAGAAAAATCCAGGACAATCAAAAAATGCCTGGATCTGGATTCTGGATCCAGAAAAAATCCAAACTGGACCGATATCTAGTACATACATTTCTCAAAAGTTAAAAAGATTATTTAAATATATTCAAAAACATTCTCTCTAGGTAATCCATTAAAGATTTTACTTTTTTTATGATTAAAAAAGTTATTTATTTTTCTTCAGCTTTACGGTCACAACACAACATTTTTCTTAAATGGAGGTGCAAGTGCTTGGCATTCCTTTTTAACAAATAAAAATAATACAAATAATTTATTAAATAATTCCAAAATTGAAGAAAAGTTATTAATGTCAAATGGAGGGGATTTTAAAGCTGGTTGGGTACAAGATTTGGTTGTTACTTTTGATGATTTGTTGGCATCTTTTGAACCAACAGATGAGGGAGATGTTTCTGCTAAAGTTGATATTGTTGATGCACAAAAACCTGAAGTAAATTTATTTTTTACTGACGTTTAAGATACCTCCAAAACTTAAAAGAAAAAATTCTTGCATTAAATAATTATGTTGTATTTTTTAAGTCGGTGTTATTTTTAGGGTTATTATAGGAAAATTATCACAAAAGAATTATCACAGAAAAATCATATTTTACCGGGGTTTCAATTTTTGGTTTATTTTTTAAATTCTGAACAGTTTTAATAATTATCGAGATTTTGTTAGAAATAGGGTTAAAAGGATTGTGTATAGATATTAAATTTAAAAAATCCTTCCTAAATAATTAACATTTTTAAATAAATAATTTTAAGGAGTTTGATGGTCACATAGTTGGAGGAAGTAAATCTTCCTTTTCCTCATCCTCATCTTCATCCATTTCTACCTCTCCAATAGCTATTTATGGACACATAAGAACAGCTATGAATATCCCCGTTGAACGATTATTTTTATCAACACCAATTGGAAATCAACGCCGTTGGGCTTCCTCAAATGCCCATTCCCGATTATTTGCCCGTCTCGGATTAACAACTAAAAGGCCTGTAGTTGTTTATGATGAACTTTCTTCCCTTCGAGCTGCGTCGGTTTGGGCAGCTTTGCAAAGAACAAATTTCACTGCTTCTCTGTATTTTGGGGCGTGGCCTGAATGGTTAATTAGAGCGCCCGATCATTTAAAAAGTATTCCTGAGTAAAGAAAAATTATTTGTGATTGAACAATTAAAAAATAAATATATTTATTTGTATATTACACATTCCAGTCAAAATTATTATTCTAAGCTACTAATAGATTCAAATATTTTTTTCATAGTTGTAAAATTTAAAAATTAATTTGTTAGTTTGAATTTAAGACAATAACTTTGACTGAAAGATATCCCCCGGTATTTTAATATTTATAATAGTTAGTGTTTGTTTAATGAATAAAGATATTTTCAAATATTTTGGGAAATAAAGATTTTGAAAATTTCATTAAGGACTGTAAAGTAAAATTACACTTCTTTAAAACTGATCCTTTATTTAAAGAATAACTTTTAAAATTTGGAATCGTCCCCTAACTATTCATGATTAACTTTTTAAAAATTTAAAAATGTTGGCGAAATGAAAATAATTAATTTCTTAACAAGTTACAAAACTCAAACCAAAAAAAGAGATAATAATTCAAATTTAAACCTTTGCTTATATTTTATCTAACTCTTTTTCCTCCTAGCTCTTTACTTCTAGCCTCCACAACAAATTTCCTTTTAAACTAAACTTTTCGTCGTTTAACTTTTTATTTTGATTCCCTGCTTTATTATGACATTTAAATTGTGCCTTAAATTTAATATTTCCCTTACACAACTTAATATTCTTCAATCCCTCCCTTTTCTCCATACTTTTGGAGTTTCTTTTAACTTAAATATTCTAAAAATATATTCAATAAATTTAATTTATTATAAAAATTTCTTTTAGATGAGAACTATTACTTTTACAAACGATTGGACTGTTCATAGTCCTAAGAAAATTCTCGAATCTCTTCCTCCCTCTGGCAAAATTACGTTAATAAGTATTCCCTTTAAATTCTCTTTTTATAAATTTCTTATTTATTTTTTTCATGTGACAAATTTTCTAATCCGGAATTTCCGTCAGTGGAATGGGAGTTATGTTTGTATTTAGCTCGATATGATGTTAGCGTTTGGATTAGACAAATTGGGCCAATATGCTTGAACTCTCTCGTGAATATCAAATATAAGATTTATGCCAAGAAGGATTTTATACGAGTAGATATTGCAAAGTATGCTTGTTAAATTTAAAAAAATTTTATTTCCTAACGACTGGTCTTGATTTCTTAAAAACTTTGTTAAAAATCTTAAAAATCAAAGGATATAGTATAGTATACCGGTGGAAAGGTTTTGATATACATAAGACACATACCAATTCGTCTCGACGAGCTGTCTCTTTTTTCCAAAGGTTCAAAATGTTCAACGTAGACCTATGGAGCGTCGGCGAGGCGCTTGTGCAAAACCCCGCGCGAAGCGCGGGGTTTTGCGGCACGCGCCTCGCGGGGAGTCAACGGTCGCTGGGCTCTGGGCTCGTAACATGATCCTATTTCTATCATCGATGAGATGGACATCCCAGGATTCCTCCGCAGCAGCAAACACTCCACGGTGTATAGGTAAAGTAAAGAAGAGAGCGAAATGGGTTTAATCTGCAAGTGTCGGGTCTGCAAATGTCTGATCTGCAAGTGTCATATCTGCAAGTGTCGGTATTTGCAAAAGTCGGGTCTGCAAGTGTCGGGTCTGCAAATGTCATATCTGCAAGTGTCGTGACACGCTTAAAAACAAATATTTTTCCCTTTCAACCTGTCTTCATAAAAAGAGAAAATTTCAGAAAATGAGTAATTTTTAAAAATAAAATAGGTGAATTAGTCTAAAAATTTGGCTAGGCTGAACTAAAAAGTATCATTAAATAAACATTATTTTAAAGATCTGCTACCTACAAGTTAGAAAATCAAAAACGTTTGGGACAGACTTCAATTAAATTGGATAAAGTAGTTAGTTCTGATGGTGAGTTTTAGTTATTTGTAAATGTATAGAGTAGAGAATTTGTGGATATCTAGTCTTCAAATTTTGCTAGAAAAATTAGAATAATAACTAAAATTTTTAGGGCATCTGAAACTTTTCTGTGAAATTGAAATGGACTGTTATAATTTAAATAATAATTTGCCATATACAAATATAGACATGTTAAATGAGGAAATATTGACTGATTTTGTTATTAAAGTTTTTATTTGTTTTATTCAAAAACTAAAATTATTTTTAGGTTGATGATGAAGTTATAAAAACACATAAATGTATTTTGGCAAAAAATAGTAAAGTGTTTCACAGAATGTTTGAACAGAGTGGCATGACTGAAGCACAAAATGTAGGTGTTTGTTAAACAATAAAAGTGCAAGTACTTGTGTTTCCTACGGCAGAAGTGCTCTAATTACGTTTAGATTTCTCGTTCTAAAGATAAAGAATTATGAAAATCGAATAACCACAATGAAAAACTATTTTCAAAATACAAAATAAGCCCTAGCTGTTTAGGTTAGCTCGTTGAGCCCTCCTCTTTAACTCAAATGACAAATAAGTCAAAATTTAAGACTGGGGTCATAACTTGGCTTCTGTCTGCCACATTCACTTAAAATAGAGTTCCCTTTATTAGGAATAGCTCAAGTTTAATTGTTTGTTGGATCTTAAGTTTTTAAAATAAATTTAGGGTGAAGTTATTCTTACTGATACAACACCAGAATGTGTTCGTGCAATGTTGGAATTTTTCTATACTGGAATGGTTTCTGATGGTTTAAATAATATGAACAAATTTTTAAAAATATTTTTAATTTAAAGATAAAATGCAAAGTCATGTTGATGATATTTTTGCTATTTCACATAAATATGAAGTAGAAGCTTTAAAATGTTTATGTGAACGTTTTATGTGTTCTAATATTGGTAATAAGTCTAATATAAAATTCAAAATATTCCAAATATTTTTTAGATGATGAAAGTATGGTTAAATGTTGTGAGATTATTAATTTATATGGGACTCCAACTTTGGAGAAGGTAATTTTTCTAATTCTCATTATCTCCCCAAAAATCAACTCCCTCTATTTTTCGATTTTCTGAGATTCATATAGTAAAGCCGCTGGGCTATAGCTATTTCTCTCTTTTAGCTAGTGCAAAAGGTTATTTGGCGGCTTGGAGCGAACCAGCATCTTCAGTAGACCTGACTGATGTGTTAGCCATTACACCACGCCGCCTACTGCTCAGCCTTAGGAAATTAATAGCTATATGCTTTACAATATCTCGTTCCATACTTTAGCCTAATTATCAAAATCAGCCTAATTATTTGCAGGCATGTACAGATTATATTCGATTCAATGGAAAAAGCTTTTTAAAGAGTAAAGAATGGGAGGAAATTAAAAATAATTATCCAAATCTTTTTTATCGCTTTTTGGAGAATATTGTTGAGAATTTGGGCAATTAATGATGAGTTTCAAAATAAAAAATAAATGAAAAATATATTATTTTAATAATTACAATTTTTACGAATAAATTATCGAGAAAATTTTTGTTGTCGAAAAATAAAGTTTACATAAATTTAGAAATAGATTTAGCTTAAAGATGCTTCCAGGATAGTTTAGGTTCCTTAATTTATAACTAAACATGACTGGGCAAATCATGCAAATGTATGAATAATTAAAGAAATTGGCTCAAAAACTACTTCTGATATTAATGGATGTTGGGCAAATATTACATATTTTTAACAAAATTGTATAAATTTTAGGGACTTTTTTGTGAGAATTTTGTCGCTTAAAAATTATTTTTGGCAGAATTAAATTATCTAAAATTTAAAAAAATTTCAAAGAACTTTCTCCTCAGAAGTCTCCTTCGTAACAAAAAAATAAATACCTATAAAACCCAATATGTTTACATGTAAACAGAAGAATAGCCCTGAATTATTAGTTCCGCCCATTTTCGTGTGATCTATTTTGCCCATAGTTTCCCATCTCTCATTCATATTTAAATTATACCATTTTAACATTTTTTAAATAGTAATTATTTCTTTCATGTATTCGAATTTTGCTCTTTAACTTTGCTCCCTTTCCCTTATATACATTTACTGTTTATTTCCATATATTAGAGTTGGAACCTTAATTTTATACTATTTCTCAGTTGATAAAAAATATTCTAAAATTTCCCTGAATTTTGATCCTCAACTTCTAGATGAATACCGTTACTTCAAATATCGAATGGACTGTTTATAATCCTAGAAAGCTGCTGGAGAGTATATCTACAGGCAAGATTACATTAACAAGTAATCTTTAAAATTTATTTTCATTTATTTATTTTTTCTTTATGTGATAAATTTTACAATGAAAACTTTCCATCAGTGGAATGGCAATTATATATTGAATTTGTTAAAGCTTACGATGCAAATAGAAATATTTATACTCGTGATGATAATTTTTGGCTTCGTCAGATTGGCCCATCTAGCAATAATGCTCTTGTGAATACTAAATATAAAATTTATGTACAGAAGGGTCCTATACAAGTTGAAATTGCAAGGTAGTTTTGATTATTTCAACTTTTAACGGCGGTCTTGAAGCAGGGAATTTTGTCAATTTAAGCAAAATAAACGGTCTCAATGAAAATCTAAAAGGCGAGCACTAAGATAACTGATTTTTTAAGAATCCATACAACTAGGCAGGTATTTGACCAAAAATAAAAACAGATCCAAAATGTGAACTATCCAAAGCCTTTATTATTAAACGTTTAAGCAGGGTTCGGATTCGTACTTATTTTGGAAGTACAGTACTTACAAATCAACCTTCGTACTTCCAAAATTAAAAATGTACTTATTTGTAAGTACGTACTTACAAATTTGTAAGTACGTACTTGTAAGTACGTACTTATTTGTAAGTACGTACTTACAAATAGACTTTTTGATTAAAAAATTAAATTTAACCTTAAAATTCTCAGAATTTTCACCTGCGGCGCAAAAAATGTAAGACTTTTTGGTGCCTTCGGCTCCGCAAAAAACTTTTTGAAAAATTTTTTAGCGTACTTATACTATTTTTAAAATTTTTCCCCCTATGTACTTCTAAATTGAACTTTTTGTACTTACACTTAACATTTTCCCGATCCGAACCCTGCGTTTAAGTATATTATTTTAAAGATCTGCATACAAGTTTGAGAATCAAGAACGCTTGGGATTTACTTCTGTTTCATTGGACAAATTGCATGATTACGGTAAGTTTTAACAATAAGATTTAAACTAAATATTACCAAACAACCTATTCACTTTTATAAATGAAAATTTTTAGGAAATCTAGTGATTTGTTGCGAAGTTGAAATTGACTGTTATAATTCAAATGATAATTTACAAAATACTTACGCAAACATGCTGAATGATGAATTATTTACTGATTGTGTTTTTAAGGTTTATGAGCAGGGCATATGTTTTGAGATAAAAAATTTTCAATTTTTTATTTAAATTAAATCAATTTTATAAAAGCTTAATAAAAATATATCGAATAAAATAATTCTTAGATTGGCGATGAAGTTATAAAAACACATAAATGTATTTTGGCAAAGAATAGTAAAGTATTTCACAAAATGTTTGAGCAAAATGGCATGATTGAAGCACAAAATGTAAGTGTTTTTTTTTCATTAATATATTTACTCGTTACTATGATACTACGGATTAAATAAGAGGAAGAACTTATTTTTGGTTTGAAAATTGAAAATTAAAAAATAAAAATGTTCGAACTCAAAGAACAATAAACGAGTTAATAATGTCCATTAATTCATTATTAATTGTTCGTTGATTCTTAAATTTTTAAATTATGTAATTTAGGGTGAAGTTATTCTTACTGATACTACCCCTGAATATGTTTGTGCAATGTTGGAGTTTTTCTATACTGGAATGGTTTCTGATGGTTTAAATAAAATATTTGTTTTAATTAATTTATCTTTAATTTTAAGATAAAATGAAAGATCATGTTGATGGTATTTTTGCTATTTCACATAAATATCAAGTAGAAATGTTAAAATATTTGTGTGAACGTTTTATGTCTTGCAATATTAGTGAGAAAATTTTTAAAATAAAAAGAAATTCCAAATATTTTTATTTTAGATATGGAAAACATTGTTAAATATTGTGGGATTATTAATTTATATGGAGCTCCAACTTTGGAGAAGGTAATTTTCCTGAAGGATTATGTTAGAGAGCTTCGACTGTATCCTTCTACAATTTTTATTTAATAAAAATATTAAATAAAATTTTAATTACCTTTATTTTACAGGCTTGTATAGATTATATTCGTGTCAATGGAGAAAGCTTTTTAGTGAGTAAGGAATGGGAGGAAATTAAAAACAATTATATAAATTTGATTCCACGATTTATGGAAGCTATTGTCAAAAAGTTAGATAATCCTCGTTACTTTTGAGAATGTTAAATATTTATTTAAAAATTACAAGTTTTTACAAATAAACAATTTTTTATTGTAAAAAAATTATTTTGTAAATATGTCTCATCTTATAGGAAATGTTAAATTGCCATAAATTCACTCCTCACGAATTTATCATTGAGATTTTGGCATTTTATCATCAAAAAATTAATTTTTTTTGCATAAAAATGTGGGAAACACATGTCTAATAATATTTTCAACCCAAAACTGAAAACTTTTAAAACCTTTTATTCTGTGTTTATTATTCTTTTCTCTTAACATTTTAAAGGTTTTTTAAAACCAATATCTCCGATTTTTAGAAACATTTTATTTCGTAGAAAGGGCTAAGAAAGGTTGAAAAAGATAATTTATATATTTATGTTTTTGAGAAGAAATAACTATAATAAAAATAAGCAAAGCCTTCTACAAAAAATGTTTGGGCAGGAAAAGCAAAGACTTTTTTGCAGTTTAATTTATTAGCAGTTTTTATTGAGAAAATGGATTAAAATTTTTCTAAATAAAATTAAAATAAACTCAAATTGCTGTGGCTTAGAAAACAAAAGAAATAAAAAAGGGATTTTTTTTTTCTATGAGGCAGAAAATGATAAATAGTAATTTCAGATAATTCATTGGTTGTGGATAGAAGGGATATTTAAAAGGTTGTGGGAAGAAAAAAACATGAAAAATTATTTGGGACCCTCCAAGTTATGTAGAAGGATATGTAACAGGATTAGAGATGGTCAGAGACATAATCCTGTATTTAAAATAGGGTTGTTGGCGACCGTTTATTAACCGGTACCCCCGGTTCTCGGTTAATTAAAATTTTAAAGACCCGATTTTCGGTTTTGAGTTTTAGGCGAATACCGGTTTTATTTTGGGGGAATTTTTAATAAAATCACTCATTTTCACAAATTTCCAGTTTTCGGTTTTTAAAATTTTCTAAAAAACGGTTCATTTTTGGCAAAAAATTTCAAAAATTCCGGTTTTAAAACCGGTCACCAACAACCCTAATTTAAAATTTAAAGGGATCCTTCAAAATGAAACCTAATTTTTTTGGATTTTTTGTCTCTTTCCGAATGACATTTTTTTATTCTTGTGGAAATTAAAAATTTTTGAAAATCAGAAATTCGTAACCAATGATTAAAGAAATGAATATTCTATAAATATTATAATTTAACTAAAGTAAAATATCGTAAATTTAAACTTTAACATGTCTAACAAGAAAAAAAGTTTTAGCTATGTAATTTAAAAATAAACAAGCATAAATACAGCAAAACAAACAAAATTAAATGGACGGAAAAAAATGAAATAAAGAATTATAAAATTTAGGTGAAGCACAAAAAAAGGGTTAATAATATTCTAGCAAAAGTTAAAAAAGAAACTCTCTGGGGATTTTTAAAAATTATTTAAAATTTTTAATTTAACAAATTAAAAGAATGTGGAGGCAGTGCCGGTGAATATTAAAAAATCATTGCAAATTTTGGGAGAATTTTAAAAAGTTTTTAAAAGAGAATTGAAGGGAAGGCGAGAATGGAAAAGGGAATCTCCAAAATCCTCTAAAATGAAATGGAATATAAACGGATATTTTTCTAACAGATTTGGCCATTCTCTCATCTTCCCTCCATTCTTTCCCTCTAAATTCTCCTCTTTTTTAAAAATTATTTTTTGCTCCTCGAAAAGAATCCTCTTTTCTTCGTGCTTTCTTTTGGCTGTTGTTGTGGTTGAGCACTTTCAACTGGCGCAGAAATTCCATCACCAGATTCCGAGGAGGAGATCACCATTTGTGGATGTGAAGTGGTGGCGGTGCTTTGTTGTTGTTGTTGTTGGGGAGGTTGAGAACCTATTCTAGCTGCTGCAGAATTTAATTGTTGTAACCAACGTTGTTGATCTTCCTAAAAAAAGGGGGAAAAAAGTTCAACTACTTCTATTTAATTCACCTCATCAGCACATTGCAATAAATATTCTGATCCAAACGGCCATTTTAACGAAAGACAATGCCTTCTCTTTGGATGTTCGACAGGTTGTACGGCACAACCAGCTAGTTGAAGAGGCGCTTCATTTCTAAATGTCTGGCCTGGCTGTTCTTGACGATGCCGGGCATCTTTGAAGAAATATAGATCACCGTTATAGAGAACGGCATATAGCTTCTCCCATGTACTGAAACAAGAGAATTTAAAGATTTATAATTTCAAATTTAGTCAGAAAAAAATTCTTATTAAAGAATCCACACCGATGTGATGCTTTTCGTTCAAATCCTTCAAAATTATGTTTCCGAATTAGCGTTCCTTCAAATGTGTCTGAAGCTGTTGCTATACCTAAAAATATATTTTATAGTGAAAGAATAAACTTTTAACTGTCAATAAAAGCAGAGATAAAAATTAACAAATACAAACCAAAAACAAAATTAACTAGTTAATTACCCCTTTGATCATGCCCCTCAAATCGTGGTTGTCTACTTATCGACATTCTCCAACTTGAAGGTTCAGCAAAAGAAGTGCCAGGGTAAAGTCCTCCCAATCGGTGAGATACACGCCTTTGAGCAGCTAATTCTGTAAAAGCACAACACAAAATTTTAAGAAAATTTTAAAAACTAACAATAAGCTCTAAAAATTTCTAACTTCTAACAATTAAATATTGCTAATTAGAAACTAAAACTACAAAAATAACTTCACAACAAAAACATATACAAACTAAAAGAAACTTTTTTCTCGAATTTAAAATTTCCCCAATTACCTTCATGAGAACGTGAAGTTGTCCCAGTTGGCGATGCAGGGAAAACAGTTTCACCTGGACGTGGTTTTGGTGGTGTACTGCCTGCACGACGTCGACGTTCCTCTTCTGCTTGACGTTCTAAAAAATATTTATTTTTTTAAAGATTTATTTTTACAAATCCATTTTCACCTTTTCTTTGCATTTCTTTCAATTCAAAGTTTGTCAATTTCTCTAAAGCCATAAATCTCTCTTCTTGTGCTGAAGCACTCTTTTCAAAAGCTTCATGTTTTTTAATTAAAGCTACAACTTCTTCTAAATTACGGCCATAATTACGAGATAATAAATAAGGTTCTTGGGCGAGTAGCCAAGCTTCGGCAACTGCTGCATCTCTTGCGAATTGGTAAACCTCGAGAACTAAATTGGGGGAGAAAAATGAGAGTTATTATCACAAAAAGAATGAAATGCCCTTTTGGACAAATTTTTTGTTAAAATATTCCTTCTACTAAACAAATTAAAAAGGAGGAAGCCCTCGTTCCATATAAATCCAAAAAACTCCACTCACTTAGCCTCAAATACTCCCAACGATCTTCCCAACGATGCATCATATCAGCTCTGTCCGTTGTCAACTTAACCAACTTTTTCTCAATTTCAGCAGATGCGTAGTGATTACGTTCGAGTAATTGACGACCTAGAGCCATGCATTCACGAAAACTTTCTTCACGAGTGTCAATTTCAGCTTTCAATGATTGGTGGTTATTCTTTAAAAATGTATATTTTTAATAATTTTAAAAGCAATAAAAAACAACTCTCACCATCAAAAGTTCAACACCGGAAACATCTTTAGGCCTCTCATGTGAAAGCATCTCTCTCTTAACTTCCTCAATCCAAAGAAGTAAATCCCTAACCATATTCAAAAATCGGAATAGATCACTTGTATCATTTAATCTTCCCATTCTTCCTTTACAAGCCTCATTTAGTCGATGCCAAGCTTTTAATATTTCATATTCCATCTCAGCTATTTCTGTTGATCTTTGACCTGCATAAGCATCACGAAGACGGCGAGCATCTCCCTCGATCTGTTGGACATGGGCGCCGATTGCTTCTATGTCTTTGAGGAATGCCTGGTGTTTCCTCGTCAACGCTCCAACAGAACTTGCATCACGTCCCAATTCATCAGGTAAAGCATGTGTTTTACTTAAAATACGTGCCAAACAGTCTCGACAATCATAATGGAATTTATGCATTTGTCTACTAGCTTCCAAAGCTTGTGTTCTTGTATCTATTAATTCTTGAAGGTTTTCCCATGCTTCGTTTAAAGAATCTTTCCATAAAGCTATTGTAGGTGCATCTGTATGTCCAATAGCAATTAATCTATCACAACGTTCATTTGCTTTTGCAACTCTTTCTGTCCCAATAAATTCTGTATCTCGTGCAAATTGTAAAAATCTTTCCAAAAGCATTTGGACATGTTCATAATCCTGTCCACTTTCTGAAGAGCCGGCAACAACCTTTAGAAAAGTTAATAGAGTGATTGTTTGTGAGGGATTTGAAAGGAAAAGGAAAGCGGTAAATGTATTGACTGTTCTCGAGGAAAAACCAAGAATAAAATCTAAAGTTGTAGGGAATTCGGATAATTCAGAATTCGGATAACGAGATTATAGAAAAAAATTCTTCAGGATTCCAGGGGAATTCCTTCCTGAGAAAGTGGAATTTAACATTAAATTTAATGTCAAACCCTTTAGAGTATAAGTGTTTATCCTTAGAGGATACTTAATAAATTTATGAATAAAAATTTGCCTCTTTATCAGCAATCCATTGTAAAAGATCATCAATTTCTCTATGTAAATCATAAAGTTGAAGAGTTTCATCCAATCTTTTGCGCCTTTCTTTACTTAAATCTTGCAAGCCAGCATATAATTTTTCAATTTGCGATTGTCTTAATTGAATTTGTTCACTGAGAGGACTTTCTTCGTCAATTAAATTTTTGGCACGAGAAGCTAATTCTTTAATTATTGTGGCAAATTGGCCAATCTCTTGTTGAAGACGTTCATGGCGTTTTATTTGGTTTTGAGTGCTGAATTCGTCTTTTCTGAAAGGAATTTTTTCGATTAAAAAATAACTGTTTGTATCCCCATACCCCCTCTCATCCTGCATCATATACAATTCCTGTTCACTCATCCAAGCTTCAGCTTCGGCACAATCATAAAGATATTGATGAGCACGTTCAGCATCTTTTAATCTTTGTTTTCTTTCTTCAATAACATTTTTTAATCCTTCCCAAGTATTATCTAATTCTTTTAATTTTTCAACAAATTTATCAGCATCCTCATGCCCTTCTTCAATTAATTTTTGTCCATTTGAACGTATTTGGTTAATCCAAGGTTCATGGTTGTCTACTTCATTTCTTAACGATTGAGTATTCTTTTGTAGTCTATTACAATCAAATAAGGAATCTCCAATAGCTAAAGATTCAGCTATAGGCATTCTCTCTGCTACCCAAAGTTTCTCGTCTTCAACATCGCGCATAAATTGGAAAGCGGCTTTTTTACGTTCTAAATTGCGACGACGTTCATCCAATGGCGCTTGAAGTCTTTGTAATTGTTCGGTAATTGCAATGCGATGGGCACGGATTTGTTCGATTTGTTCAGGCTTTAAAGAAATTTTGAGAAGTCAAAAAAATTATTAAAAAATATTTTACCTGCATTTCTTCCAATTTTTGTTCCATTTCTTGTAGAGAATCCAAATGTTGTACGTTCTTAGACATTTCTTGCTCCAACTCCTTCTGCCTTTGCATAGCAACATCTACAGTTATACGATCCTGAGGTGGCGCAGCTTCAGGGCTGACAATTTGTTGTTCAAGTTGTTGAGCCCAGTCCTAATAATTTAAAACTTATTTTGAAAGTATTTTGTAAAAGTATAACCAAAATTTAAAAAAAAATTAAAAAATTCTCAAAGAAAAACTTAAAATCTACCTGAACTTCTCCAATACTTTGAACATAAAGTTGTTGTCGATTGGCATCAAATAATCGTTGTCCCTTCTCTTCTGTAGTCTTTTCTAATTGTTCCCATTGTTGTTCTAATTCAACCATTTGTGGATCTATTATTCCAGTAAATTCAGGCTTTTCTTCTGCCAAATGTTCCGCAGCATGATGTAATTGTTCTAAACGAGCTTTGTTTGCTTGTAGTTCTGCTTGGAATGCTTGGTGTCTCATAAATTTTGATGTTATTGTTTTGGCATCTCGGTAAGTTTCATCTTGAGCTCGTATCTAAAAAGAATTTTTACTCAGAGAAAAGATTTCTGATCACAAGACCGTTACTAAAAGTATTCCCTAAAACTCATCCCTTATCTCATTCATATTCCCGTATACTTGTCATTTAAAAGATTTTAATTTAGTAAGTCCAATTAAAACTAGCCATTTTCTCCTCTATCCATTCACGCAATTCTTCACAATCAGAAAGGAATTGTTGCACATGCCATCTATAAAAATTAATATTTACATATAATGTGTAATATTTATTTAAGACAAAATTAAGATAAATAAAAATTTATTTCAATAATCCTTACGCCTCTCGTAGTTTATCCAAAACTTGTTGAGCCTTTTCTCTATTTGCTGCACGACGTTCCTCGATATTTCTAGCTTTTTTGTGTATTTTATCAGCTGCATAATGCCCATCAGCACAAAGTTGGTCCCCAAGCTGAACAACTGAGCGAAGTTTTTCATCGTTAGCCTCCATTGTAGTTTGAAAGTCTTGATGCCTTTTGAGGGCATTTTCTGCTTGTTCTAACGAAGTCGGCTGTTCTTCTCTGGCTAAACGGTTCTCTTGCTGAGATAAGATGACTTCGGCTTGTTTGGCTTTTTGCAAGAATGATTGAAGATTTAAGCCTTGACTGAGGAACTAAAAAATAAATTTTTTTCAATTTTTGTGAAACACTTAAGGAAAATAAATGACAATCACCATGTAGTCACCAGCTTAGGCAAAAAGAAAAGAGTATTAATAATGTATCTACCTGTTGTCTGTTTTCCCACATCCGACCAAGCTCTTCCCATCCTTCCTCCAATCCACCAAGTCTCTGTCTCAAGAACATATATTGAGGACTGAAACAAATTAAGTTTATTTTAATTTTTTTAAATTTTATTTACTCAGTTTGGTCTTGAGTGACCCTATCGCCCATTGCGCGCATCTTTCGATAATCCTAATAATTTAAAATTAGTTTTAAAAAAAATCTGGGAAAATAGTCTTTTTTCTTAAATTCATTTAAACATACTTCTCCATAGCCATCGATCTCCTCCCGTATGACAGCTAAAATAAAGTTTAATAGAATGATAAATTATAATTTAATTCTTTCACCATGCTGTTGGAGGAGTTGTTCTGCTTCGGCCAATGATTGGGGCTCGTCTTCGGACGCCACCTGTCTTTGGGTGGCTGAGAGCCAAGCCTACAGAATTTATTTTTACTTTAAATTAATTTCAAATTCGTTCACCTGGAAGTGATCGAGATCGCGTAAAAAGCGCTGTAAGTCGCCGGCTTCATCCAGCTTTGCTTCTTGTTCGCGGACTTTTTTGTTGAGTTTGTCCCAGACCTTTAAACAAAGAAAATGTAAGTCAGATTTGATTTCAAGGGGGTAAATCAGACATAAAATTAATTATTTATTTTTTGTATTTTTGAGAGAGGGGGATTATCGGAAATTATCCAACTTAAACAATTATTTAAATCCCTTACTTGATGTATTCTTGTGATGCTCTCCCTAATCTGCGCGGCCTCTGCCGGCTTCTCCCTTTCAATTTGCGTAGCTTCTTGTTGTAATGCAGCCAATTTAGCTTGTATAGCCCCCAAATCTCTTTCCATCATAGACAATCTTCTCTGTAGTTTCATTACTCCACTCAAATCTCCAGTCAATTCATCAGTATCAGCCAACATTCTAGTCTTATCTTCAATCCAAGTAACAGTTTCTTGGCAGTCAATACGGAATGTTTCTAGACGATGGGCACGATCTAAATCAGCCTTCTTCAAGTCTACCATATCTCTGAGTTGAGCCCATCGGGCGTTGAGAGCATTTTGACGAGCCAAAATTTCATCAGAATTGGGGTGCTCGACCTGTAACATTTGTCTAGCCAATTCATTTATTGTTCTGACCTACAAATAATGAACATTTCGGAATGAATTTTGATCATTAATAAATTTACTTTGGCTGCTTGATGAGCCATATCTGCTTGTAAAGTTTCAAATCTATGCCTCATAATTTCAACTTCTTCCAAATCTGGCCCAGGAATAAATGTTGCTAATAATTTCCCCTTTTCGTCTAGCCAAGATTCAACAGAATCAATGTCAGCCAAAAGTTTGTAGAGGGAAAGGGCATCAATTAAACGTTGTTTTCGAAGACGGGCAATTTCAACTAATTCGTATTTACGTTTTTGTGTGCCGCTTAGACGTTGTTGGATGTCGGGTTGAGCTCGAGCCTACAAAACAAGGATGAATAATTGGGAAAGAAGGGGCAAGAATAATAATTAAAAATAAATAAAAATAAATAAAATTTAATGGAACAAATAGGGAATATGAGAAATTCATCAAACTCATCCTATTCTTGAAAAGCCCAAACATATCACAAAAATGTTTTACATTTTTAAAATATTTTAGCTTTTTGAAAGGAACATTATAAAGAGAGAACATTAAAAAATATCATAAATAATAATATTTTAAAAAATATATTTTTAATTACCGGTTCAGGCAATTGCTGAGCTTGTGCCTCCAATTGTGCAATATGTCTGCCAAAACGTTCCAATTCTTCAGAAACACCATCATGTTTTTTGAGCAATGCTTGTACAGACTGTTCATCATGCCCTACATCGTCTGTGGAGACAACACGCATTGTATCCAACAAATAAGCATCAACATCATCTGCATCATGGAAGAACTGGAAAAATTGAATATACATACATCAAAAATGCTCAGACATATTCTTCACCTGATAATATTCAACAGCCCCCTCCAACTCCTTCCTACGCTCATCTGCCAACTTTTTCAAATAATCATAATATGCACGAATTTCAGCTATTCTTAGGGGAACGGGACCACTTCCAGGTATTTGTTCATTAACCAATTGTTGTCCCTGTTGCTGTAAATCATCTAGTGCTCGGCCCAAATCGGCAAGGTTATTCTCGGCATTTTTGTGTTTGGCAAGAAGGCGGTTAACAGAAAATATATCTCGACCAGTATCTTTTTGGGCAAGAACCTAAAATTATTTTTCAATTTTAAGAATAAATAGGGAAATTGTCTACTTGTTCTTGTTCTTTAAAATGAGTTTCTAAGTCAGTCAAGTCCCAATTAAATTGACAAAGTCGTTTATTATCCTCCAATCGAGCTTTTCGCGCAGCTGCCAACTCCAATAATTCTTTATATCTTTGCTCCAAAAATTGCATTCTTTCTCTAACGACAGCTGGATCAACAGGTTTGTAGCCTTCTGTATCGTCTCTAGAAAACCGTTCAGCCTGTCGATTGACATTTTGGACATGATCAGCAATTATATTAAGATCAGATTCCAATAATGCATGTTTTTGTAATAATTCTTCCACATCCATTAAGTGTTGACCAAGTTCATCGGAATCAAGCTTGGCACGGAGTTCATCCATCTAAAAACGAGAAAAAGGATTATTGACAAATATGTGGAATAATCAGAATTAGGGTGTTCAATATGAAAGGAGAAAAGAGTGAAATATCCAACTCTTCCCTCTCTAGAGAATTCTCTAAAAAATTTTTAATCTTTAACCATAAATTCAATTTTAAAATTAAAAAAAAACTTCAAAAACACACCATATCCAAAACATTAACCATCTCATGGAATATTTTCTGAACAGTCAGACTCAATTCCAAACGTTGACGACGGCCTTGTAGTAATTCAAGTAATTGATTCCAAAGGCCAAGAACGTGCTCTTTTCTATCATTAATACGTCCAATATCGTGATACTTTTCAATTTCCAATTCCCCAGCAACAGAAATAACAGCTTGAACACGTTCCTCATAGGCATAAATATCTTTAAAAAATTTAAGATAACTCCTTGAGATAAAATTCAATAAATTTTAATTTTAGAAAAGTCATGTCAATCAATTAAAATTCATAACATTGACCTTTATAAATAACTCATGTTAGCTTAACTTTATTTCGAATATATCCAAAAATAATATTCTCTTACCAGTCTCAATAGCTTCATGTTTTTTATTAGCCGCTTCAACACTAGCCAGATCTGTTCCAAAGTTGTCTTGACTAACTAAACGTTGATTCTCTTGTAGCCAAGTTTCCCTCATTCCGGCCTTTTTGTCGAAACGAGTTGCCAATTGTTCCAACTTTTCTTGTCTAATGAGTTCTTCTTTAAGTGCCAATTCCCTTTCGTGTTCAGATCGTTCCAAGGATCTCCAAGCTCTATTAATATCACCAATTGTACGGCCTTCCCGTGGAAGAAATGCGCGTTGGTTATTAGCTCTCATTCGTGAAAGAAGGGAAAATAGAAGCATTTCGAGTTCGCCTTTTTCCTGAAAGTATTGTAAGTATTTTAGTCAAATACTTCCCCTGTTAGTCACAGTCCAAATCCCTAACCGGTTGAACTTGCTTCTAAGGTGATCCCAATTCTTTCTCAATTATCTTATATCCAAAAGAGGATGGAAACAAATGAGGGGAAATTTTCAAATCTACCTGAAATCTAGGTGGCTTTTCCTCAACTCTATAAGCATTAAACGAGGCCAATTGCTGTTGTACACCTTTTAAAGAATTAGCAAACTGTCTATCATTAAGTTCGGCAATCTTCGCTTTAATCCATTCCAAAAGATCAGAACTAAGTTGTTCATAACGTTCAACTAAAGCTTCATTTTCCATTAATTCTCCAACAACTTTTCCTATTCTTTTGCCTTGGATTGTTTCTTGTTTAAGCTGAAAAGGAATTTTTAAGGTTTTGTAAAAAAATATTGTGACTATTTTTGAATTATTTTGAATTACATAAAATACTTTAAAAATTAATTTTCCATTAATTACCTTATTAAAGTAATGATAGTAGGTGACAACATAAGTAATAATAGATTTCTCATCTGGTTGTTCAACATTAACATCTAAAATTTGAATAATTAGATATGATTCTTCTTATGTAATACATAAAGACTAGTTTCATTTATTGCCCTATAACAGCTAAACTATTTTAAACATTAGGTTTCAGCTATCGCATGCATCAAGATTTCATAGTTAATCAAAATTATTCCCTCGATCATTCCTTACCCCTCTCATTAAATATCCCTTCAAACCCCCCCCCCCTCTTCTAATTTCTCACCTTCAGGATCAAGCAATTTTGCCAATCCCAATTGCTGTTCTGCAACATCAAAAGAATTTTTCAAATTAAACAAAGCATTAGATTTTTGCAAATTATCATAATCAATTAAATCGGGTCTATGTTTGTGAATTAAAGCATTAAATGCAAGTCCATCCCTCCAACTTGTGGTGAAATTACGAACATTAACATTTCTGTAACCAGCAGTTTTCATTTGGCACCAAAGAAGTAAAGCTTCCTTAGCAGAACGAGTTTCGAGGTTATCAACATCTTCGAAAGTAATATCTTGAATCTAAAAAATTTTTTTTTAATTTTTAGATTGTTTGGGGGCGGTAATATTTTGGTTAAAAACCAAAAAATAAATTTACTTGGAATCGCAAAATAATAGTCCAAATTAATCCAAGTGTTAGTCTTGGCGCTCCATCCACAATATCTTGCGATCCAAGGTTCTCCAAATGAACGTGTTGATCTCTTAAAAATTGCAAAGCTTTGTCCACATTTTCTAGACAGTGAATGCGCATTTTGCCGCGTGTTGGGCGTTGTAGACGATCGCCGGATAGCACCTAATTGAAAGAATTAAATAATTAAAGTTAAAGTTTGTGTGAAGAATTCGGGGTTTTCGGTAGAGTTCGAGCATTGGAAAAGAATTAAGAAAAAGGAGTACTGGAGGGAAAAAATATTTAATTTAATTTCCAAAATTTTAAATTCTCAAAAAATACCTCCAAAAGTTTGAGCAACATTTTCCCGTCACGTAAATCAGCATATAAATCTTGTATTTTACAATTGACGCGAATTAAATGAGAATTAACCCATTTAGTAAAAGTCTTTTTCTGTACATTTTCACGTTCATCTTTAAAGAAAAATTATTCTTTTTTTAAATATTATTAAAAAATTTAAAGAATTAATTTTAAAAATAAAATTGAAAATTTTAAAGTTATTATGGGGAAATTTAAATGTTTTTCTTGTTTATGTTTTGATTTTTGAAAATCAGCCCAATTTTTAATTAATAAAATTATTAGTAAAAATTCTTTTAGACGTTCAATATTTCATTAATAAATCTAGGGTTACCGTTTTCGAGTCGGGCAGACGGTCGAGACATTTTTTCGAGCCTAAATTTAACGAATTGGGCCGTACGAGTCTTTTACGGGCCAAATATCTTAGGCCCGACTTGATCTTTCGGTCCGAGTCGCCCCATTTTGGCAACCCTAAATAAATCATTTCTAAAAATTTATTACCAGCCAAAGCTTTAATTCTATGGCGTTCAAAAAGCCTCGAAGATGAATTATCGTCATAATCCCCATTTTCCTCTGTATAGTCTGCAATAGCTCCACTTCCTCCATTCTCCATAGGGCCTCTAACAGCAATATCTGTTGTCATCAATTAATCAAAATATTTTTTTGTATTTTTTAAGATTAAAAGTAGTAATTGAAAAAGAAATATCCGAAAAATATTTTTGATGGCAGTTTTTTATTGTAGCACAAACGGGCGGCGAGAGAGGCACTCGCGCGAAAAATGCGAGCAGATGCTGAAAAAATAAATAAAAATTCCAAAAATGTTTCTTTTTTTAGGGAGGAAATATTATAAAAAAAAACATAAAAATAAATCGTTTGTTCAAATAAAAAAAATTAAATTAAATTTGGGGCATTTATTATTTAATTATTAGGGAAGGAATTATTAAGGAGGGAATTATATAAATTAAATTAATTGTGATATAATTTTTTTATTCGAGATTATCCAAGATAAATATATCTATAAATTGGATAAAAAATACCGTAAATGCTCTAATTAAAGCTCTAGCCGTCTATTTTTCAATGGATCAATTTGGGTGGGCTTATATTAGAGTTTGGGAGTTTATTTTTCGAAAGGCCTCCTTGGGTGGGCCTGTATTAGATATAGACTTCTAATAGAGCCGGGCTTTAATTAGAGCATTTACGGTAATTATTTTTATAAATTAAAATAAATTTACAAAAAATCAAAAAATAATTAAATTAAATTAAATGTAAAAGACATTCTTTTACTAAAAATGAGAAAAGAATTTTTTTGTAAATTTTTTGGTTTATTCTTTAACCACATCTGTAAATTTTGCTGTTTTTGGAGTAACTAAATAAATAATCTTTTGAATGACAGTCAACATAAAAATAAAAAAATATTTTTTAGTCTGAAAGAATTTAATCAAAAAATAAAATAAACAATTTAATATAGTTAAATAAATCATTGAAAATAAAAGGAAATTTGTTAATAAAATATTTTTATTTGGATTTTGTTATTTCTTTTAGATAAAAAAAACAAAATTTATTTAAAGAAAAATTTTAGAAAATTAAAAATAGTTAATAAATAAATGACCAGTGCTGGGTATGGTTCCGAGAGCCAGCTACGGAGCTAGCCCCACGGAATCGGGAGCCGGAGCTAAGATTTTAAAAGTCCGGAGCTCGGAGTCGGAGCAAACAAACAAATACCCAGCACTGTAAATGACTAATTTTTTAGAAAATAATGAAAAGATCATTTTTAAAATTCTTTTAAAATAAATTCCAAAAAAACCCTCCAATCTTTATTCTCTATTTAATCTCTCCAAAATTTTGACATAAATAAATATATTTTTGATAACAAAAAATTAATTTCTTTTTTTGTTTTCAACCAAAAGTTAACTTTTAACAAAAAAAAATTATTTTTAGCCGATTTATTGACTTTTCTCGACTAAAAATAAAAGGGTAAATATTTGAGATATTCTTTTTAAAAATGAAGTTTTTGAGAGTTTTAATAAAGAAAAACAGAAGAACATTTGTTTTTTAGGAAAATTATGATTTTAATATGATTTTCTTGCTAAAAATTTTTGGAAAATATTTTTTGGATTTTCTTAATAAAAGTAATAATTTGTTGGGGGGAATTTTAATTAAAGGAAAAACTTTTTAATTTTTAAATAATTAAAGAAATTAATTTTAAATAATTAAATTATTAAAAAAGTTTATAAAAAATTTATAATTTAAATAATTAAAAAAATTAAAAAAAAATCTTTTTTTTTTAATTTTTAAATAAATTCTTTGGGATGTTTTTGTTAAAAAATAATGCACTTTTTGAAAGTAAACTAACAAAACAATTAAATAAAGAAGCTCTTTCAATGATTGATTTTAAAAAAATTAAAATTAATTGGAATAATTAATTTTAGTTTTTTAAAAAGTAAAATTAAAAGAAAAAGTGTAAAAAATAATTTAAAACATAAATTAAATAAGTTGACGCAGACTGACACACAAAATTGAAAGACTAAAGCTATTTAAACATTTTTTGTTGGTCATTTAATAGATGGTTGTTGTAAAATTATTTTAGAAAATTAACTCTATTTTCTACCCATCTTTCTCTTTTAGAGAAAATAAATTTTAAAAGTTTGGACAGACGGCAGGTGGAAATAAATAAATGGATATATGTATGTAGACATAATTTTGACTTTTTAATAAGAGAAAATAATATTTTTTATAGATTTATAAAAATATTTTATTTTATTAAAATAAATTAAATAAAATGATTAAAAGAAAATAATTTTGTTGCTTTATTTACACAGTTTTTGTATATTCAAGTACCAAGCACAAACGTGTTCTTTTTACTTTTTTTTGTTAATGAAGATAAATATTAAAAGTTATGATAACAAAGATTGATGTAGTTTAGAATTTTTGTTTTTAAAGAAGAAAAATAAAAAAGATAACTGAAATAATACATAAGTATGTATAGTCTAGAAGCAAACTAAGGATTTGAAACAATAAAATTTTGGATGAAAAAAAAGGGAAGAGAAATGGAAACGTATCCTGATATCATTCCTAGCTGTAAATTTTTAAAAAAATAGTTTAAACCAGGGAAAAGGTTTTTGCGGATTTTTTTGCTCAAAATTATGGATTTTAAAAAATTAGAGACCCAATTTTAATATGGGTCTGATATGCGATAAGGTGGGTGCGCGGAGAGTTTGGACCATGGTGATTGGAGTGGTTGTATCCTTTAAAATCTTTAACAATAATTTCTATTCAGAAAAAATTTTTTCTGACAAAAAATGAAAATAAAAAAATGAAGACATTCTTTTAGTATTAAGATAAATATCTACTACTAATATCTCTCATCAGATATTAAAAAAAAAGTAAAAAGTGCAAAGCTAAGCTAGCAATGAATGACCACCAAAACAACTAAAAATAATCTCCCTCCCCATCCCAACAATTGTCTCAAAAATATTATTTTATTCCGCAAACGGCCTTTCCGTGTTTTTGTGGTTATTTTCCAATCGATCGACAAAATTCTCGGCCGGTACTCGGACCACTCTAACCCAAATGCTCTTGGGCCTTCTTTTAAAGTCCCCCATTCAAAGTGTGGCCTCCAGCGCCAAAAACAGACCAACAACTATATAAACTATTTTTTTACTTATGTTTTCCCCGCGAGTACAACAAACACACACACACACACTCTCGCCCAATTTTGACTAGCTATGGCTGTTGAATGAGTAGAGAATAAATGTAGTAAAATTGTGAAATCGAGACATGAAAATATTGAGAAAGAGAGAGAAAAAATATTAAAAGGATTTATTGGGATATAATAAAATTTTTAAATGGATAAAAAGGATTGTAAAAAATCCTGGATAGTTTCTTATTGTTTTATGAAGTTGGAAAATTAATATCAAATAGAACGCTTTTCGAAAAATTCTGAAAATTTCAATCGAATAGTTAAAGCAAAAAAAACTTGCAAATTTAACAGGTTTATAAATTGAAACTACAGTATTTGCTAAAATAATTACATACCCAGAGTAATTATTTTTTAAAAATTTCGCTGAAGGAGGTAATTAATAGGGAGGGGGTAATTATTTGAGAGAGGGACATTATTTCAGCAAATATGGTAAACCAATTATGTAGGTATTTTTTGATCATTTGTTTTCATTTTTTAAACTATTTTTGGTAAACGTTATTCAAAATAAAATTATATTATTATTCCCCACATTTTAAAGTTTATTTTTACTTTTTTTGGTTCCAAGCAAACTTTTAAATAAAATAAACAATTAAAAAAAGCAAAAAAAATAATAATAATATTTAAAAGTGTCCCAAAAAAAGAGAGGAAATAAAAAGCTTAACAATAAAACGAGAGAAAAAAAAAGAAATTAAAAAAAAGAAAAGGTGGCAAGCTATTTTGTTAAATAAAGCTTTGAACAATTTAGACAATTACTCCCCAAAAAATTTCTCTTTTAAATAAACAAAAAAAATTTTTTTTGTCAATTTCTTCGGCATAAAAACATTTAAATAAATATTTTTTGTTGTCGTCTTTTTGCCATTTATGTATTGGCAAAAATTGTTTGGGGACCAGCTGTCCATCAACTAGTTTAGAGAGGGAAGAAGGGAGGTTTTCTTTTATTTGTTATTTGACGGAGAAAGGAAAACGCGCTTCCGTTTATTCCTTATTTTTTCCTTTTAACTCATCCTTTCCTTCTTTAGCCAATCTTTTTTGGATATAAGAGAATAATAGAGAAAATAAGTCTAAATAGCCAATATTTATTTTTTAAAGGAATATTTTTTAGCTTTTATGTGCCAAACAAAAGAAAAATATATTTAATAATAAAACGAGATTTTGTGTTAGATAATTAAAAAACAAAAAAATTTTTTGTAAAACAAAAAATAATGAAAGGAGAAAAATAAATTTTATAATTTTCAAAGAAAAAATACATAGTTTCGTTTAAATTTTTAACTTTTTTCGGTCGATCAGGCTTGATCCAACCAATTGTGAAAAAGATACCGCTTATCGTTGGCTTTCGAATGATATAAAATTTATTTGTATTGGATCAAGCTTCAGAAAGTTATAATCGATCAAAGTCGTCTGGCACTCAATTTGCGGTCATATGTACTATAATGGAAAAGCACCAAATTTTCTTATAAATTTACAAATTGGATAAAGTTCCAAAAAAATATTTTTTGTGAAGATTAATAATGATTTTTGGGGGTTTAAAATAAATTATATACATATTTAAAGTAGTTCAAATTTAAAATCAATCACTCAGTTTTTAAATAAATAGTACAGATTTTTGGATGATTTTTATTTATTTTTTAATAAAAGCAAAAAACTTCAAATAAAAAAAGTTTGTTTAAAAAATTATTTATTTATTTATTTTATGGCCCCCAATTGCCTCACCGCACAAATCAAACAATTTTTCTTTACATTTATTTTTTAGAAAAATATTTTAAGTTGTGTACCTTTACATTTTTTTAAAAATAAAAATGTTTTTGTAATTGCTTTCTTATAAAATACCCAAAAAAACTACTAAATTTGTAATAAACAAATTACAAAAAATAAAAGAGAGAAGCTTTTATGTAGCTATTTTTTCAAACAAAAAATATGTATTTTAAAAAACAATTTTTGAATGA